CGCATATTCGCGCATATAAGCAAATATCAGCAAATATTTCACATCGTTAAAAGACAATGGATTTGGTAATAGGTGCTCACCTAGTTACTGGTATTCACTAGCGAACGAGATATTAAAGAGGGCATAAACTTCACGTCGCGATATATAATATCTGATTCTAACTATCTAGCTTCTAACACATATGTATATTATATATGTTTAGTGTACTAGATTAAGCACATATTAAATGCATCGATTTTAATGTACTCTTACGTTGTATGTGGTATATTGTAAGCATCGTAGAGAGCGCCGCAATGCACCCGGAATCAAGGGTAAATTCAAATTTGCATCCCAAGTCGATATCCATGAGCGGAAGGAAACGCGTTTCCGACCTTGCTCACTTATAATCCACTCCAAATGTAATGGTTTCCTCGATCAATGACGCAATATACAGCGTGCATAGCATAACGCAAAGAGCATCTCGGTACCTCATCCTGCGCGAATTCTACGTATTTGGCTGGAGGGCAATTAGTGCCCCCGCGATATTAATACGTCCGTTTCCGTGTGTAGCCAATAGGGAACACAAACTCGAGAGAATGCAAAAGCAACCGGGTGGCAGACTTGAAAATCGGAGGAAGACAGCAAGATGGAGAAAAAGCGATTAAATCGAAAGAGAATTCCGCATCAATTCCGTCTTCATCTCATCTTCGTTTTCATGTTGATTTAACTCGCCATGGAACATTCATTGACTATACATCAGTTACTTGGCGTACATTTTATCTTGCACAATCACATTTAGGGCAAATTAGTACGTCATTTGCTTAGCGTCTTAAAACGTGCTTCAGAAAAAGCAGATTGTGACCTCTTCATTAAGATAACGCAAAGTGCAAAGTGCAAAGGAGAGCACGTAGAATTTTTGTGTCAGTGGAAACGCAAGGTGGCAAGAGAGACGAGAAAAGAGGACCGGCGAAATAAAAGTGACAACCCTGGCCATTGACATGTCGTTACTTTCGCGAGGAGAAATCTCAGTTGGCTCGTATCCTCTCTCCCGAAATCCAGGAAATTATCGTCGACAAGATCGTAACTCCCGAGACACGAGCTTCTTCAACGGGATATCCGGCTGTCTGTTGTCCCGTTCGATGCAACCGTGCACGCCGGTATCGCGAATAATTAATACTGCGGTTTGTTTGCACGAACAATCACAGAGCTTCTCTCCCTCGATCGTGCTTGCGTCAGTGACCGCTTTCTTGCTCCAGCTATTGACTGCGAGACATGAAATACGCCGGCATTCTCCGAACAACGTTAAGCATCTTGATCCAAAGTCCGTCACATTAAGACCGACGTTAGATGTGTGCGGGAAATCGTGCGTTGTGCCAGTAAGGACCGCTGGGTAATCAAGGATCGTCAAGGGATTGTGGAATATTCCGTGCTACCATGCCTCCGGTAGATGCGCAATTTGCCGAATGTTACGGCGAGGAAGTACACAATGCCTTTGCAACAGACCGTAATGATTTCGAGAGTTTGCTCCCTCGAGAGAATATTAGTCGTAAGCGTTGCATTACTTGGTGTGAGACAGCCCGTATAAGGTCGCGCCAAATTCGACACCTTATCATTATGGAAAACAAAAACGTGGATATTACATATGTATATTTCTTAGTTGAAGTCCTTGGAAAACTTTAAGATCCAATACTTGTTATACAATGTATAACAATTTTTAAATTTCCTAGAATTATAAAACTTAACTGTTCCTTTTTTATTTTTATAAATATAAATCTTTTCAGCTGGTTATATATACAATGTATTACGTATATCTTCTTTATTAAGTCTTTAATTTCATATATTGATTTCTAATATGACTGTAGGGTTGTCGTGACATATTCTGCTTATTTCTATAATACTCATTTTCGAAGGAAAACAAGTTATGTTCGGAAAATGAGATTATCTTTCGCTCGAAGCATAGTAATAGATGTCACATGACGGTGTGTAACTATTTTGGCAGCCTCGGTTGGCTCTTGCGAGATCAAACTCGTAATCTGATGGGGCAGTTGCAAACACTCGCGATATAACATATGGACGTTTTACCAATAAATACAAACATGAGGTAACCAACAGATACAAACCGCGTGAAATAAAAATTATATAACCGAATAATTACAGAAAATAACAAAAAGTAAATGTTTATTAAAAAATAGAAATAATAGAAAATAGAAAATAATCCTCATATTTTTTTTCGTTTGTTAAAATATACTAATGTATGTTTTTAAGCAAATTCGCCAACACATGCACGCATTTATCAAAGTTTGTATAATATATATTTAATTATATATCTCAGTATTTTTTTATGTGAAAACTAATAAATTACAAAAATCTGTCCCGTAAACACAAACAAATTCTCTCTCTAAAAATGTTTTCATAAATAAATATAACATTTTGTATTGCATAAATGTATAGTATAATTTATATTATGCGATTCCGCGTTACAAAAGCTAAAATACGCGTTGATATAATATATTAAAAGTTATGATTATTTAAAAGGAGAAAAATTCTCCGCGAGCACTAATCTCCACGAAACCCGAGTGAATTTCAAGGACCCAGCTTCAATTAGGTTTAGGACCGTAAAAATACTTCGCTGGGGTGCCTCCTTTCCTTACTGCTTCCACTTCCGCAGGAAGCAATTTCGGCCCTTTAATGAAATTTTAAAATTTGCCGCAGAGTCGGGATAATACATAAATCGTTTTATACCTGAAGCACGCAGCTTATTTCCGCACTTCATAGAGAATGGTAGAAACGAAAATATTATAACTGCATTGAATGATCCCTACTCTGTGATAAGAGAATTGAACAAAAATGTATTAGTTGATTTTCGCGGAAAATAACTGAATTTAATTCTCTAAAATTTATATACCTCTTATGACATTCTGACTCTGCTTTCTGAAAAAATAATACTTATTACATTGTTAATATAATTAGATATATTACTTTTTGTCTTATCTAAACATATTTATAATACCGAATTATTAAATATTTTAATTATTTATAAGTCTTATATCTATCTCTTGAAAAATATATATCTAAAAAATAAGAAACCAATTATATCTATATCTCTTTAACTCTTAATTATACTTAAATATACTTTATTAACTTAATATTAAAGATGCAAATCGAGTGCAAATGATTGCTAAAATTGTAATAACTTGGAAGAGAACAGAATATAACATATAAATGACATGTTTGTTATTAATTAGCAAAATTAGTACCTTCATCATGTACTATACAACGCGGTAACATCTTGCGCAAGTCGTAATAAGACGCTTTATTATTTCAAGGCACCATAGAGTATCTGAGGTATTCCTTTCCTCTCTCACAAGTCACTATACATAAAATCTACCATTACTCATGCAGCAACTTGAAATATAAATAAACTACTTAATGTCAGCACTAACGTAAGCTCTCTTCGCATCGTTATCATTTTAATATATACTTCTCTCTCTCTCTCTCTCTCTCTCTCTCTCTCTCTCTCTCTCTCTCTCTCCTTCTCTCTTTCTCTAACAAAACGATAAAACTATAAATTCGCGTTTTATTTAATCGTATGCGCTATTAAAGGAAATTAATAATTTATTATTAACGAGAGAATTGTGCGGCACTGTCGGCGTAGAGAACCAATCACGCGATATCGGTTATAGCTGCACCGTGTGCGGCTGCCATGTGCTAAAACGAGTTACGCTAAAAAGCGTTAATTTTCGCGGTGACCGTCGGCATCGATTATCGAAAGCATGCCCCTTTGTATCCCGGCTGTGAGCAAAATGGTACACGCGCTTTTTATTATTTGCGCCAAACGCTTTTCGCGGGTATCGCGACGGCAGGCGCGTGACTCGCCGTTTTCATTTCCGCAGAGGTGCCGTTGACCAACCGCATAAGGATAATGCATCGATTCCATTCGAAAACGGAGCTTGCCCCTATACACACACACACACACAAACACACACACACACACATACATACATACATACATATTCTCGCGGCGCCATAAAATAATCTCGCGCATTTTTATCGCCAAAACATTTCGCGGAAGCGACGCTATCTATAAAACTATAACTCCTATACGCGCGGTTTGAGCGCAGATCTTGGTAAAAGAGAGAGAGAGAAAGAGAAAGAAAAAGAGCAGAGGAGAGAATTGAAAAGGGTATTTCCTCCAGGTAGAGCGCCCGAGACCTCCGTCGAGAGGAGGCTGGAAAATAAGGAGAAAACGAGAGAAGAAAGATAGACGAACGACAGGGAAACGATCGGCTGGAAGACGGCGGTCGAGGGAGGACTGGAGCCGCTTAACAAACTGCTGAACTCACACCCCGCGGGATTTTATTTCTACTTAAATGGAGTTGCGCAGATATGCACTGTGATCCTAGCCCAATCCCTCGCTACGAATTTATTTGTACCGTTCGTTAGCTCTCCTCCGTCCCTATAGAACTTTGCGAACCTAGTTCGGTAATGACATCGTTCTACTATTCTCAAGCAATCTTAGCGCCAATTTTCTAAATCGCGAATTACAGCGTATCTATATATTATCAGAATAATATTCTCTACATAATTTCATAATTTAGAGATAAAGGTTCATATTTCCATAATATTACACTTGATGCAAAGTATTAAATTTATATTAAAAATTACTGAGAATTAATATTTAAAAGATGTTAATTTTTGTGTCTATTTCAAATAAAAAATTATAAGCCATTATGAAACTAAAATGATAAATAACCTCCCTTATCAAGATCTTATTAGATTTTGATCTCAATTCAGATAAAAAAAAATTATTTCAATAGACAGTATCGCTTCGCAATTTCATCGTCTGAGAAAATGTATACAAAGAGAAGTCCCATATCTCTTATCGATGCCAGAGTCTCTATCGTATCAAGAGACGTTAGTGCGCGCAACGCAACGTACAATTGCAGCAGCAGCACGGCACAATATATATATAACTGCAACCGTGCATGTGAATATAATAGTGGTTATAATGTGTTTCTCACCTTGTATGGTCCGAGAGCCTCGACGATGCATGTGAAAATGGCTTCGCGACCCACCGAGACTGTAAGGTTGTTCAACGGTTTGCCGAACCTGGGTAAATCTGTAACACGGAACGTCCTCGACTTAAGTATCACGCCATCGCGCGAACGAACTCTATGTTAACCAGCCCGGTATACATACATACTTACTTACTTACTTACTAGTACTTATACTTATAGCCCACCTACGTGCGCGCCAAAGTTTGCAAAGTACTCGAGAAACTCAGCGGTGAATGGCGCGAGTTAACGTAAGCGGGTCAAGCTAGGACTAAGCCCGGCGCTTTATAATTCTACGCTGTTCTTGTATTCACGATTCAAAAAAAAAAAAAATTATTCGAAATTATCATATGCATTTATCGTTGCCGCGATAAAATCTACAATGCGACATTTCTATTATAAGTCAGCTTGAAAGACTCGACTTAAGTACGCGATCGTTCTTACAGAGTATAATCATTTCAAAAATTCGAAATGCAAATGAACAAATAAATTTATCTTTAATTAAATTCTGACAAAAAACAATCTCGGCGATATAATAATATTTAATAATACTCTTATTACACATATATGTTACAACGTTTGGTAAAATCAGCCTTTATACAAAAAGACTTAGCCTTTTTATAAAGCGTTGAATATGTGTAGACCACCAGTTTATAAAAAACCTAGGCTTTTTTTGTAAAAAGAATATTTACAAAGCATGACAAAAATAATCTGCATTACTTTATAATGCATACATTCTCAGACTATAAATTTTTTATATACATATACAAAAAGATAAAAGCTGATTTTTAAAAAACATTTATAATAAAAAAAAAAAATCTGTAAGAGAAGTTAAAAATGATTAATGACAATTATATGACATAAACCGTTCATCGATTTTTATATTTCATTATTGGGCTTATTAAGTTAACTTGCGGTGAGATTCATTACGCGGTAATGAAATAAGCGCTATTGCGAGAGTGATAAGATTATTTGTACAATATGTAACAAAATTCCTTTCATTAAGATCAACTCTTTATAGACGGTCTGCTCGTCAAACTTAGAAACTTCTAAGAGGCCATTAACAAGCAAGCCAATTACTACTTCAAAGAAAATTTTCAAGACGAAATAGTAGTATACTTACGAAACTACGCGTGATGATACGAAGTAAGTTAGCGACAGTTTATAGTATGGTGCATCATCGTGTTGCTAGAGTTTGGAATTTAATATGTACTTAAGTATTTCTCATCTAATAGAGAATCGATGTTGTTCCAAGCTATATTTGCATATTCAATTTTGTGTGAAATGCTTGATTCTATCGGCGAGCCAGCTCTCTAAAAACATTCCGAAATCCAAATTTTTTTTATAACAAATTATTAATAGTTCACATGTGCAGTGCTTTTATCAATTTAACGCTTTTATATTATTATATACAGACTTGGATCTTCTCGAAAAGCAATTCTCAAGCAAATCCGGCTATATCTTTTGCGCTCGGTATGCCATATTGAAGCTACCATTTCGAAATGTGGAATCTTATTTGAAATTCTGATGCCCTATACAAATTTGATAACCTCAAACAAATATACTAACAAATAGCTACGTTATTACAATCTATATGTAAAACGCTGAGACGCAAAAATTTCAATTGTTATATCATCAGTCGTCACATCATATAATTCCATAAATACTTACATGTCTTCAAATGAAACTCCACAATTTTCTTTGCCAATTGGAGTATCATATTTTTTCCATCAATATAAAAAGATGTAATAATTATATCAAAGTTCATTTACATATTCTTAAAATATCATAATGCAAAGTAACTTTATAGCTAATATTAATTAAATGTTCGTTATATAAATTTCCCGTCGTCAAAAGATAAATAAGATCTATCAATTATTACAGCTTGCTCGATGCATGACTTTCAACAAGTTATATACTCGGTTAACAGACCAGGTACTTTGCGCACGTCCATCAGTGCAATGAATATCACTCTCCCTTGCACCGTCATTGTTGCATATTTAGAAATATAACCATGCAATTAAATGACCTCTTAATCTTACTCCTCGAACAGATGAACGTAATTGCCACTATAATAGATGAATATGATAATTTTATATAGAACAAATTGCATGATAATCGCAACAATTGTGAACAATATTCAATATGATTTTTTTTCTTTAAACTACATCTCTTTTTCCTCCAGGAAAAAGGATTTATACGTCTGCATGTGCAAGGAAATTGTTAAATATTTATTAATATCTACGATCTTTTTATGAATTAAGCCATGAAAGAAGTTGCTAAACCAGGATTTTAAGACTTCCGAATGTCGATTTCCCGGTATATTCTTAAGATCTCTACATTCAAAAGAGCTGTGTGAAAGCGGCGGCGGATATTTAATGCACACAGGCGCGCTATTTACTTTTAAGTAATCAAATTTCTCGTCTACACTAATGGAAGTGTGTAAATAAGTTTTTAACTTCATTAGGATGCATCTATTTTCTAAATGAAAGTCTATGTAAGTTTCTTCCTGTACGCTCCAATCTATGACATAGTCCTTATACATTTAATTTGTTTGTAAAGTTATTTTACAAAAATTTGTGCGATTTAATTTTCTGTTTAACAAAGATCATTGCTTAGAACCAAAAACTTAAAATTTATGTTATTAAAGAAAAAATTAATTAATACAGTAGCTCCCAACCCAACAAATTGCAATACAAAATTCCATTTTTTAACTGTACGCTAGCATTTATATAGTTTAATCTTTATAAATAAATAATGCATTTACACAACTTGATTAAAAACTTAAATGAAATTGTCGGTTATGCGCTAATGTGCTTAATAAGCCAAATTATTTCAGTAATATAATACAAAGGGAGTACAAACACGTTTATTTAAAATTGTAGAATCCTTAATAAATAAGAAGTTGATTTTCTTGTAACAAAAATGCGATTGAGCGTCAAACTTCGAGTTAGACAAAATGGTTGCAGTAATATGACGTGTTTTGTAAAGTAATCTTTCGAGTGCACCGCAAGCCGATAAAGATTAAATTGATGTTATAAATCACGTGTTAATATAGCCCAGTTCACGAAGAACTAAAATGAAAAATAATGAGCACACTCCCTCCCGTGCCCTCAAATAACCATCTAATCTGATTTCTGGTAAACCGAGTAAATGGAAAATAAAGATCAGCACGCGCACACACACACGCATACAAAGACGTTACGGATCGATAGTATCGCGGTAATCGAACCGAGGCTAATTATTCTGGAAAGAAACAGGTACAAAATTCATCGCCAGTCGACGAGACTGCTTAAGGTACACATAGCCGTAATACACTTTTAATTGAACTTAAATCTCCACTTTACACAACGGTTATATTCCACTCTATACATACACGTAACTAAACTTGCAGTATACTTTCTTTCCCTGCAGGACTTTCCTGTACAACTTCCTGGAAAATCTTGTGTAAAATGGTTGTTAATAGAAAACTTTAAAAAAAAAAGTTTATAAATGTGTAATATTCTCTAGATTACATGTTTCATAAACATAAAAATGAAATATAGTTTTTGAGAAAGTAAATTGCCCTCAAAGTTAATTTATATCTAAAACAGAAAAATCAAATGTTTAAAAAGATAACAAATGTTGATAGTCAAATTTCATGAGAAATATAAGAACAAAATAAAATTATTTTCGTTGATTTCAACTCTTTGTGAGAACTCATATTTTCTCACAATGTTTCTTTATTGTCGTTATTTGTAATTTGCTTTTACTAATTTTTAATATTTCTTTTCACAAGTAATCTTTACCAACAAACCGCTTAACGATTTAAAATATTCCGCTTGCGTCACGGTACGTAATAAAAAAAAATTCATTCGAGAACAATCCAATCGTGAATTTTTAGTTTGCTCTCAGGGAAAGTCGGTTAAAGTCCAACCCATGTGTAATCTTCAGTCTGACCCGAGATCTATGTAAATCCAGATGAAGAGATTCGCGAACGCGAGCAAGAGAGATAAACAGAGGGTGAAAGAGAAGAGGCACAGAGAAGCAACGATAGTGGATGAAACGATGAGTTCTGAATCCTCGCACGTTCGCGTATTACCATTGATAGAAGCATCAAGGTTCCTCCTGAAAATAAACGTAACGATCCTATCCTAAGATCGAGAGATCAATACCCGCCGCGACCCATAAACCGGTTGAAGTCCCAGAGCGCAATCAAACCATTTCCAGAATTATACTCATGAACAATGCAAGCGTCGACGGGTTCTTAATCCGGCTGCGCGTTGAAGAAGTAAGCAAGCATGCGGCGCGTAAACGCGACGGCTTCATCCAAGCCGAGTGACAGATTCCAGTATCTCTTATTTCGGGCACAATATCCGACCGCGAAGCTCATCAATCCTGCGCGTCGGTGTGGCTACAGTCCAAAGCCGCGCCACGTATGAGACAAACTTGCACGTACCGGTAACTGGAAGTTTTGCAATACTATCTATCATTCCTTCATCCTAACGTAAAAAGAATACCAGATTCCGTGTATTTCGGAAATGTAATATGGACTTTTTCCCTTGCATCGGGGAACTGGAATTAAACCCATCTTCTTTTTCTATTATATTTCGCGTATACGAAAAATAAATGTATATTGAATTGTGAATCAATCAATTTCGACATATATATGCATATGTGTATATGTTGTCAGATTTTAGTAAATGTTTTCCATTAATATCCTGATATGTTGTCTAATTATACCGTTTTATTTTTATTCAATATATATATATCTTTTAAATAAAAAAGAGAAACATAAAGGAAGGATAAGAAAATAGATCGAGAAATTCAAAAATCAACCTGTTTAAACTTTCTGCAAATTTGGCAACCAAACTTGTTTCAAATAAAGCAAAAAGAATTTCAAAACTTGTGCGACTCTCTTTGTGACTTTCTACAACTTCGAAATTAAAGCGAGGTCATTCTATGTCAAGAGAATCCATCTGTTTGACTTTTCAAACTCAACCGCTTGAGTTTTCGTGAAAGTTGATATGTTCATTTTACCAAACAAGATAATTAAAAAAAAAAAAAAGATACCAAAATTATAAAT